CCAGCAGACTGGAGCGCCTCGTCCCACCCTTTCTTGAAGAACTCCTTGCTGTTTTCCTCAAGAGCAGGGAGCACGTCATCGGCGAACTCTTCCCGGAGTTGCTCCTCCGACTTCCTGTTCAGTGCCTCGGCTCTGATCCTGTCCAGCTCCTGGGTGAGAGCCAGACAGCTTTCCTCTGAGCCAACCGCCCTCTCCTCCGCGGCAGAAAGCCGCCGCGTCTGCTCGGTGATCCTCCCCTCAGCATCGGCAAGGGCAGCACTTAGCTTTTCAGCGCCAACCTTAGCCGACTCGGCATCCTTGAGGAGTTGTTCGATTTGGCAGCCTGCCCCGCCAGGGTAGAATCCCTGGCAGCTACGTCCTCCATAGCTCGGGCGAGGGCCCCCTCCGCCTCTTCCTTCTGCTCTCGGGCCCGCTGGAGGTCCATCCTAGACCCATGGTACCGCGCAGCTATTATGGAGATCTGCTGGGTAGCCTGCAAAGGAGGGAAAAAGGTGTGTCACAAAAATGGAAAGCAAGAGAGAAGAAACCAAAGCAAAAATGAACTTACCACCAGGGAATTCTGGATGATAGAGCGGAACAGCACGTTCGTTGATCGCCCCCTGTGAGCCGCCATGTCAGCCTCGAAATGCAGTGTCTCACTCACTGCATTGGCGACATGAGGATCCAGCAAAATGGAATCATCGACCCTGATCACTCGGTTCATGTGATCGGTGGCTCGGGGATTCCACTCCGCGGCTTCCACTGTCGGCGGAAGGGAAGGGGGAGTCTGCTGCTGCTGTTGTTGCTGTTGTCGTTGTTGTTGCTGTTGCTGCTGTTGCGGAGGAGCAGGGGGTAACCCACGGCCTCTCCCGCTTTGCTGCTGAGCGGAAGGTGCCCTGGATCCTCTCTCGAGGCCATCGTGCCGATGTTTGACCCTTCTCTCCTCCTCTACCTGAGGATCCCGGTCACGCACTTGACCCCGACTGAGAACTCTTGAGGATGGGGTGGAACTGGTCCCTGCAGAGGGGGCGTCGCGGTCGATCCTCGACCCCTCCCGCAGCAAGGGCTTGCCTCTGCCTCAGGAACCCCAGGTCAATGCGAGGCGTGCTGGACATCGCGACCTCGAGGGCGTCCTCGGCGTCTAGAGATTGTAGAACTTGGAAGTCTGGCCACAAGTCTCCTCCCGAAGTCCCCACCTCGGCGTCCGAAGGAACAACGTCCTCTCTGACCCCGAGCTCTTCAACTACTCCCTCTACCTCTGCCTCCGAAGCCCGATCAGGGTCTTCCTCCAAGTTTTCCTCGACCTCTTGCCTTGCCGCCTGATCGAAGAGTTCAGACCACTGCGAAGGCTCAAAAGGCTGAGGAAGCTGTGAAAATTTCTTATACCCGGGGGTGTAATTCAGCAGGATGTGGGCAGCCCGCCCAAACCCGTTGTCACCAGTAAATCTCCAAACCGTGACTAGGTCGGCAAAGTTCACCAGCGACCGAGGGGGAGGAGCTGTTTCCCGAGCAGGAATATCTGCACAAACAAAAAAGTAGTCATGAACATGGAAAATCTGAAGAACGAATAATAAACCCGAAGGAACCGACGTACTTGTCGTTCTCCATTCCAGAGGGCATAACAAGTCGTTATACTCGGGACCAACACCTCTCTGCCAAGATCCCTTGAAAATAAGAATATCGTCCTTGTACCCCTTGTCCGAGTCGGGAAGATGAGTTACAAGGTACATGGAGGGGTCCCTGGCTTTGAGGTAGAAGTGTTGGTGAGGCATGACTCTCAGGAGGGAATAACAAAAAAGGAGATCGTTGAGCCCAATATTTACCCCGAGACGCCTATTGAGCTCTAAGACCCCCATAATTATTCTGAAGACATTAAGGCAACATTGCCCGGGGAAGAGGCGGAAGTGAGAGAGGAACTGAAGAAGTAAAGGGGGTAAAGGAAACCTAATTCCTCCCTCTATTATGGCCTTGGTATAAAAGGGCATAGCATCCTCGGCCCCGAGGGTAGGAGAGTGCACCACCGGGTCATAATCCTCTACGTCTACGCACGGGGGAATGCCGTACTTGACCTTAAACCTATCAATCTGCTCACCACCCTTTACTTTATACTTCCCCGACCCCGAAGAACCAGCCTGAGGATTCTCGAGAGCAGGGCGACGACGAGGCATCTCTAAGAAAGTGAAAAGTGGAGGGTGTTTTTCCTTAAAAATCCGTGAGGAAGCTTACCGAGGATTAGTCGCTATGTATCAACGGAGACACCTCCAGTCATCGGAAAACAAAAAGGGATAGGAGGAAGAAAAGAGGAAAGAAACTAGGACTCACCCGAATGCCAAACGGAAGTTTTTCTGGAAAACTTTAGGCGACTCCTTCCAGAAAGATCAGAAGCGACGATGGGTCTGCTGGCCTTAAGACTTTAAGGAAGAATGGGCAGTCGACGATGAGGGAAGAAATAGATCTCTGGCGAAGATTCAAGAAAAGGCTCTCTTGAGGAAGTTCGAAATGGCGAAACAAGAAAACGGAAGAGGAGCCCCATTTATATAGAGGCAATTTCATCATTGGGCGCGAAAAACGAAATGACGCATTTAATGCACACGACATCCCAAGCCGGGGAAAGCGGCTCGAGGCAATGATGAAGCAGTTGTGGTTGTTGGGAAACCCTTCGTCTCCTTACGACGCGTGCCCTCGGTGTCAGAAGATCGAAGGCTTGGGGGCAGTTGATGGGACTTTTCTGAAATGCTCCATGATGAAGACACGTGTCCTCGGTATTACCAAAATATTGTTGCTAAGATCGAGCACCATCGGCGCACAAAGGTCCTCGCCCCCGAGGTACTCGTCATATAGGATTATGCATTCAGTATGTTTTACAACCGACACATGGCCTCGGTCTGATATGGTACCTCGGTCGGCATACCTCCCTCGATTCTGAGATAAGCCTTTCCTCGGTGCCGAGAGGTACCCCGTCCTGGACGCTTCCTCTACTCCAGGATAAGCTATTGACGTACAGGTCATTAGCCTAGGCTATTCATCATGACCTCGTCTTACACAATTAGTGTCAGAACGTACTGGAAGGCAGGGGTCACAGCCAATAGGGGATGGACGCGTAGCGTATGATATCACATCGAAGACAGAGAAACCGCATGCCGTTGCTGACACGCGACTTGGGAAAGTAAACTATTAATTACACCATTCCCTTGATGAGACCGCATTCAATGCGGTAAGGCTCGGAAATGAAAGACAATAAATGCTCCTAATACAGAGCATTTATTGCATCTTCCCCGAGAGGAGTAAATTGTACCGTCGGCATCCCGATGACACAACATTGATTGCTCGGGACCCTGAGCAGTTAAAAAGAGAAGACATTCCTCATCAGAATCAGTGCGCACACTGCCTGTACCTAATGATCACCTATTGACTACACTGACAGCAATCATGAGCTTTTGAGGTATAAATACTCCTTGCAAAAGGCAAGACGGGTATGCAACAAAAAACTCTTTACTACAATACACACTCAGTGTTTTCTCCTTCCTCTCTCTTTCTCAAAGACTGACTAGATCGTAGGAGGGGATACGCCGGAAAACATTCCGGCGCCCTTCTAACTTGTTCTTCTTTGTTCCAGGAACCTCTTTCAGCCTTACTGGATCGTTCTTCCGCTCCCCCAGGGTCTTCCGTCGCCGTTCCAGGTTACCACCGGACCTCGCAGGCTGTTCCAAGCAGCATGGTTGGTCACTCAACTGGCTCACTCGAGTTCACCAAGGAAGAGATCTGTTCTCGTTTTTATATTGTGCAGGATCTTGCACGCACAATTAATATAGAAGTAATGCATGGTTGACACATGACTATTTTTATCTCTTCAAATAAAGATGTTAAATTTGAAACAATTTTCTGTCATAAGACATTCAGTTTGTTTGGAGTTTCGGTGGGGGAAGAGTTTGTTTTGTGAAAGAAAAGATGGGCAAGGTGGGGTGAGGAGATAAGAATTGCAAACTGGGGCAGGGAGATAAAAAGCCGTGTTTGTGTTTGGAAGAAAATATGGTGGGCCCAAGAATCTCATTTTCTCGAGTTTTTTTTTATGATTTTCTTCTTAAAGAAACACAAAAAAATTGATTATTTTTCTCTTTCTCGTATTTTTTTTGCATTCTCTCACTAAACAAATGAACTTACAAAAAAAAATTGATAATTAACAAAAAATTAAATCACGAATACATTTTTTCTAAATTTGGCCAAAATTTTCTTAAAAAGTAAAGTCTGAAAATTTTTAAACTGTATACACAATTCATAAGGCTACCTAACTGGACTCACCATCACACTACATCTTGCCTAATACAACCATTTCATAATTGTTCAAAATAGATGAAAAAATAACAAATTTTCAACATGATACATCGAAGTCAATTCAAGATAAAAATGAAATTATTAAGTATGCATTTAGTTTTAATGGACCGACACAAAAACTACATGTAAGCAACACGAACTCGTCGCAACTTTAACAACAGTTATTTGATAATACCCAAGATCATTATAGGTGAAAAATCAAAAATTGAATGAGCAAATGATAAAATATCCATGTTTCTAAGAAAGTTGAACTTAACCTTTGTATTATATTTTTGCCCAGAAAAAACCAAAACCACAGATTGTGAAGAACCATAGACTAAAAAAATCAAGCTAGATATGTTGGTCTGTCTACTAACAATCTAATCTTTCACTCTATATATCTAGACTTCCAAGACATTCAGATAGCAACTAACAAATCTATAATCAAAGAACAACTATCCAAAACAAATTGTCAAAGCAATTAAGAGATCAACAGAGTAATGCATCCTATGTCAAGCAAAACAGAGCATCTACAGCTGCAAACTCACTTCAAGGTCGTCTTCTCTGCATCAAAGCATTTCCAGATCCCCAGACATCTTCTCGAATCCTTCACTCCGCCCTCAATTTGTTTCACTGTTGATTCCATTTTCGTTTTGTGTTTCTCCGGTTGGCTTTCCAACCCTGACTTAATTTTGTCTCTAAGTTCATGATCAGCTGGTTCCTCCATTTCCATATCGGAATTCCTCTGCTTCAGCTTTTTCAAATTCGAATTCCAACTGCTGAAATATTTCCACCACTTGTTGCCTCAACCGGGCAAGATGAACTTGCAGGCGAGGGATCTCAGTGTCAAGCTCACCTAATATCAATTCCAAGGCCTCATATACTTGATCCAACGCCTTTTTCTGCTTCCGATCTAACTCCCCTTTCGTCACATCCTCTTCTTTCCCTTTGAATTCTTCTTTGCTTTTGTCGAATTCGAGTCCATGAATTTCAGCAAAATCAACACAATCTATGCCGTCCTCAGGTTGATTCGACACTTTCTGCTTTACATTTAGCTTGTTCAAACGACCTTGTTTTTCTTTCTCTTCATCTTCTTTAAATTCTCTCATCAATTCGTACATTTGTTCTTCCAGTCCTTCAATATTTGTGTAAAAATCAGGATGAGTAACATCGTTGAACTGATCAGTATCTTTCGACTTGTTATCCAAGTGTTCCAGTTTACTATCACCTTTCAGTCCCAAAATCTTCCTCAACACTTCTTCGTCATCAGAATCATCATCGTTACATAATTTTTTGTGTCCTCTAGCTAATCTCTTAAATTGGGATATCTGCTGGTCTAATGTCTCAACAATGGGACGGAGTTTTGAATTTTCTTCGGGAATTTCATCTTCAACTTTGTCATTGCGATCTTGATCTGTGAATTCAGCGTTTGCTATTGTTCCTACAAGCACGAAAATCAACAAACATGAAATAAAATACAAAAATAAAATAAAATAAAAAGAAAAATCAATGATCAGTAATACACTCCCGCGTATGAATTCATGTAGATAAAGTGAGAGAATGAGAGAGAGAGAGAGAGAGGGACCTTGATTTTCTTGATCGGACTGTTTCTTTATGTTCAAATCCTCGTCATTCTCAGAATTTCCAAGATCAAGATCGCTACCATCGTCGGATGACGATTGCAACAGATACAAGTGATGATCAATCCAAAAATGATTCAAATGCTTCTGCACATCATCTTCCATTTCGCTTTCATTCATCCCTTCGTACATTTTCTGTCCAGTTTCTTCAACTTGAATATCATGATTTTTGCGATCGTCATCGATCTCACTTGGCAACTCATTCAGCTTCTTCTTGACGGCTTCTTGATTGCTGTCGAAGTGTTCGATCGCAACCTTCGGTTTCCCGGCTTCCTCCTTGTCGTTTTCAATCTTATGTTGCTTAGAGAAATCACCATCATTATTCGTACCGTCCGCCATGGATGATCTTGCATAAACCAAGAAAAGTCGGACAAACTAATGCCGTATATATATATACACCTTATAGAACGAAATTTGAATTTTAGAAATAAAGAATAGTTTAAACGGTTTCACGATAAAAAACAAAATCATCGTTATTTCAAACTGTCTCAAATTATCAACGTCTTATATTGTTTTGATCAAACAATTATCATTAACTCTTTTAAAATATTTTTGTTACTCAAAATTTATAATTTCCAAAATTAATTCCCCCCAAATATTTTTCTTAAATCAAGTAAATCTCTCTCTCTCATTCCTCTTTATTGCTCTCTCTCACGCTTAACTCACGCAAAAAGTATCAATTTTTTACAATATTTTTGTATGTATCTTTCTCTGTATGTCACAAAAATATCATGAAAATATTAGATAGTGTCTGATTCAAACAAATATTACATCTCTTTGTAGATAGACAATATATATCACAAAGAGAGATAATATGTAACAAAAATATTCTATGTATCTCTCTCTAAAAGAAAATTATATAATAAATATTAGATAGATATATCACGAAAATATTCATTTGTATCTCTCTTTTTTATTCAAGCAATACTACAAACACAAATCATACAAAATCAATAGTCAATTTTTTTTTTCATAATCAATAAAAAAAAGCATAATCCAAATTTAAATACCCGAGAAAAATGATACAAAATTACAAGCGAGAGAAACAATACAAAATTATAAGGAATACTATGAGCATGAATCATACAAATTCAATATTTAGTGAATAACATGAAGCAACAATCTTTACTAACTAATCCAATATTAAATAGCGTTTAGTTTAAGAAAATATACTAAGAATATAAATAATCGAGAAGAATTATATAAAATTAAAAAAACAACTATAAACTCGAATCATACAAACTCAATAGTCAATTTTTTTTTTCATAATCAATAAAAAAAAGAATAACTTGTAAAAAATCTAATTTAACAAATAAAATATAATTAACATGTAAATTATACAAAATTAAATTCAAGTTATTGGGCAACTCAGATATCAAGAGATATATTAAAGAAAATATGCTTAGTATTTAAAATATACAAGATTAAATTCATATACAAACATGAATCATAAAAAATCTATATTTAGTGAACAACACAAAGTAACAATATTTACTAAATAATCCAAATCTAAATACCCGAGAAAAATGATATAAAATTACAAATGAGAGCAATGATACAAAATTATAAATGAGAGAAACGATATAAAATTATAAAAAAAATTATGAACACGAATCATACAAATTTAACATTTAGTGAACAACACGAAACAATAATCTTTACTAAATAATCCAATATTAAATAACGTCTAGTTGAAGAAAAAATACTAAGAATATAAATAATTGAGACAAATGATATAAAATTAAAAACACTACTATAAACTCGAATTATACAACTTCAATAGTCATGTTGTATTTTTTGGAAGTCGATTGAATTTTTGATAGTTATATTTGGTCATTTGACAACATCTGCAGACTTAATTTATTTGTGGGATTATTGTTTTAATTTTCATTCTATTAGTTATGAATTCTATTATTATTTAAATAAAGTTGATTATGAATGTTAAAATCGTAGATTTTGAATCAAAAACAGAACATTGAATATTGTCAACTGATATGCTTTTTCAGATGTTTGAATCATTATGTTTTAGTAATTATAACATAATTTTCGTGGCACAACAATTTAATATGAAATATATGTTATGCATGTAGGTTGATGTTATAAAAAATATTAGCAAACTCATTTTGTTCGTCGTTTTATTACAATGTTGTATTTTACTTTATATTTATGGATGAGCAAAATTTTGTAATTAATTTACAAGTGACATCGTGCCTTCAAACACGGACTATTGCTAGTATATATATACTAGTTATTGCTTGTGCCTGAAGACACTATGTTACTTATAAAATTTCAACACACAAAGATAGAATTTTTGAATAATTTCAACACATAGCGATTAGATTGGTTTTGAACATTTTTTGTTGGTGTAATTGGTATCTTATTTTTTTTGTATTGGTTACTTAAATTTTTTTTAATTGCTGATTAACTTGGGTTTTGAATTTTTTTTTAATTTTCTAAGAACTATAGGTTTTCATGCAATAGTGATTTTTTTTTTTGTATAAATAATAACTTAATAATTTTATTTATGGATTATGAAGACAATTTAAACTTCATTGATTGATAAGAAGTAAGAAGTAAATATCAACCGTCAGTACTAAGATGCGTGATAAGAAGATCTACTTATAGTGTACTGTAGGTATGAATCAGTTTATAATAAGAATGATGAAAAATTATATAGTAAGTATATAATGGTTTTTAATAAAATATTATACTAAAAGTTTTGAAAAAATCGATATACTAAGTAATTTACATGTCCAAAAATAATGACATTGTTCATTTGGATACTGATTTTTGTATTGTAGTGACGATGTGTATGCGGTTATTAGGGTCAAATGTTAAACTGTCAAACTTTAAAAAAGAAGTACTAAACTTAGAGATATTATATATTTTATGTGTGTTTAATAGAAATATTTTTAATTTTATGCAAGGTTTTTATCGTAAAATTAGAAATTAAACAAAATTAAGGTACAAACAATACATTTTTAACATATAACATTTAGATCATTTGATTTAAAATGAATTCAATCTGAATTGTTATTGTGTTTTTTCTTATTTAAGATAGAGACGTACGAGATATAAGAGTGTAGAGTCTTACGATAAGATGCTTCTTTATGATCGGGAAAAGAAATTTAAGACTAACTGTAGACCGTTAGATCAAAATTTTTGAGATGATCTAAGTCATCTTTTATATTGAGATTATGTTGTCCGTTGAATGTGATTATATTTTGTCTCAAAACGATTTGAACCTCCCTTTGTCTTTTGGATTTAAACTTCGTTATATTTTATTATATATATATATATATGTAAAGAGAGAGAGAGAATTGATGTTGTACTTTTAGTTCTTTCTAGAGAGAGAGTTAATTGAGAAATTTCTCGGGGTTGATGTAGTTTTGGCTATTAAAAGTACGAAATGCGAGGCTTTAAATAGATTGGTGATGACGGGGGTATTTTACATATTTTATTATCAAAGAAAATTACATTTTTACCCCTTAAAATATAACTCATTTTCCCTTTCAACTATCATATTTTTTACACTAGTAATTGCCTGTGTATAAAGACATGACATAATGTAGAATTAAATTAAAATTCAAAAAATATTACATTATTTAAACACTCTTTATAACCTAAAACAACCTTTCAATTTGAAAACAAGGTAGTTCGTACTATTATCCAGAAATTTCGACAAAATTTTATCTAAACTTGTCTACAAAACTTATAATCATACACAACAATCTTCATAATTCAACATAGCACCATAATAATCAATACATACCTAATCATCAACACATATCCATCCACTAAAATATCAAGGTAGTCCTGATTACACCCAAAGAATAATGCAGTAGTCATAGCACAGCTTTGGAGTGTCGATTCCATGGAGAGACAAATTAAAAGAATAATAGAAGGAACAATGAAAAAGGTGATCAAATTTGACAAACAGTAAAGCGTCGAAAATCTCTTGCACAAATCTGATATTTTAATTATTCTTAATCTATTGAATAACGCAATTGAGTATTAAATTCCCCAAATTCTCAATCGGATGGTATAAATTTATAAACCAAGATTAAACAGTATTTGGAATTGATCCACCACTACCATCTCCACCACCCCACCACCGTCACCCCATCACCACCTCCACCACTACCACTGTCGTTGCCACCACCTCCGCCACTGTTGCCGCCACCCTACCACCAACATCATTAACAACACCACTGTCATTTTTGCCTTCACCACCACTACTCTTGCCATACCACCCCCACCACCTCCGACGCTGTTGTTGTCGTACCACTATCGTCATTTACCACCGATTGCTATTATCATCATCCATCGCTACCACCCACCACAATTTTCATCTCATTCTTATATTTATTACCATTATCACTGTCGCCCACCGTCAACACCCACCACTACCATTGTGGCTCACCACCACCTCTTGCTGTCCACTATCACAACCCAACACCACCCATCATTGCCCACCATCACCGCCCGTCACTGTCACCCACCCCCATCAAAATTATCACCACCAATCATTGCCCACCATCGCTATCAGTCACTGTCACCCGCTTCCATCAAACTTACCACCACCAATCGTCGTCGCTCATTATTGTCGTCACCCATTGTCACCCACCCCTACCACCCTTACCACCACCGCTATTTACCACAACTCATCATACTGTCATCCAGAAGCACTTGTCATCGCCCACCACCTCCATCATCACTGCCCGCCACCACAACACACCACCATTGTCGCCCCACTTAATTAAAAATGGCCGATAAGTTGAACTCACTAAAGAGTTGCAAATCATATTGTGTATAATTTCATACTCGACATGTGTACGACTCTAATACCAAATGATATAAACTTGTGGATAAAACTCACCCTTAAATATCAAGTTGCAAGGGAGGTATTTTCAAAAGTATATGTTCACATTTAATTCCATATTTGGTCGACATTGGATCGTGACAAAGGAGGAGAAAATAATTGTATACTTGAACTTTCCTAGATGGTCAAGGAAAATTAGTAATAACATTTTTTTAAATTTGAAGCGTCATCTTAGCAACCCCACAAAGCTATTTGAAACAGAAGACTGTGAAAGAGTAGAACTTAGAATTATGCCAAGAAGTATTCATGCATCTAAGTAATATTATTAGTAACACAAAAAAAATTTAAAATATTACTATTTACATAAAAAAAATTTAAAATTTATATTTTGGGAACTATTAAGCACAATCTATACATATATGCAATTATTTTTTTATTTTCACACAAAAAGCTAAAATCACTAGAAAGTCTCCTCAAGCCGGTTTTTTCAACTTTATCAACTTTTTTAGAATATCTC